AGCCCACCAGGCATGGCCACCTTCCCCACCAGGGAGACCCACGGAGAGGTGGGCAGGAGGGAACAGGGCCTCATTCAGGTCAGGGCTGTGGGCAAGCCTGGGTCCCGGTTCAGCCTGGCCCCTGAGACCGCAGAGGGTGTAGGAGGCCCTGAATGTGCTGGGTGTCCCCTGGGGGCCTGGCCGTTGGAGGGAGTGTTTATGAGATGTGTGATCTGGGGGGTGGGGGGTGGGGAGAGGTGTTTCTCCTCCACCTGTTAGTGGCTGCTCTTCCCACCCATCCATTTGTTCATCCATGAATCCAACATTTGCTAATATTATCAACCAGCCCTTGTGCTGGGCTCTGGAGATTCAGATCTGAGTCCCACACGGGCCCTGCCCTTAAGGGGCCCCCAGTCCAGTGGAAAAGGAGAAAAGTGATGCATAGATTGAGGCAAACCGTGGACGGTCCCATGGATCAGAAACAGAAATGCAGTGCTCAGTGGGTGCTACGTCTGTCTGCCCCACGGGCATCTGCCAGTCTCAGCAACCCAGGGCCTCTGGACAAGGGCCACGCCCTTGGTGGAAGAGTAGACTAGGCATCTGAGCTCTGGCCAAAGAGATGGTGGGGGAGAAGGGGTCTTTGCTTCTGATTAGGATGCAGCAAGTCTAAGCAGACTGTGGCTATTTCACCTGCAACTGGGGCAGGCCTCCTCCAGGAGGGGCATGGAGTGGGGGGATTTTTAACAAGCCCTTTGCTCCTGCCCGTGGGCTGGAGGGAGGGATCCGGGTTCCAAGGAGCCTCTGTCACACAAGGCTCTGGTTCCTGCTCTGGGGCCTCCCATAATGCATGGCGGCGATGCAGGTGAAGGCAGGGCCAGGGCAGGAAAGCTGGGAGAAATCCTCCTTCATGAGGAAAGAGGCAAATGTGACCCATGACCAAGAAAAAAACCCCCAAAACAGTTCAAAATGGATTCGTTGGTGACCAGATGTCAGAGTTAGCAGACAAAGTCTTTAAAATCACCATGATAATTAAGATAAAGGGTCTTGTACAGAAGACGGAAAAATACGTAGATAGATGGTGAAATTTACCAGATAAATGGGAATTCTAAAAAAGAACTAAATGGAAATGCAATAGAAAGAGTGAGGAATTCATTTTTTAGCCTTAAAAACACACTGAATAACTGCAAAAGAAAGTATTAGTGTCACGGCATATATAGGTCAGTATCAGTGATCCACCTTGAAGCACAAAGGAAAAAGATGAAAAAACCGAATGGAGAAAAACATCTAAAAAACACCCAGAGCTGACATGGTAGTTAACAGTGAGAGACTGGGTGATTTCCCCTAAGCCTGGGGACAGGCAGCACTGTCCTCTCTCATGTCTCCTATCCAACATCACATGAGAGGTCCTGCTGGTTCAATATGACAAGAAAAGGAAATATAGGTAACACAGACCGGAAAGGAAGTAATAAAACTCTATTTGCAGATGACATGGTCATCTATGTAGAAAATCCCAAAGAATCAAGCAAAACAAAACAAAACAAAACAACAACAACAACAAAAAACTCCTGGAACTAATAAGAGACGATAGTGGGTGGCAGGATACAAGATTAATATACAAATTGCTTTCTTATATATTAGCAATGAACAACTGGAATTTGAAATTTTCAAAGCAATACCACTTACAATAGCACCTAAAAAATGAAAAAGTTAAGTATAAATCTAACAAAATATGTACAGGACCTATATGTGGAAAACTATAAAACACTGATGAAAAAAATCGAATGTGTAAAGAAATGGAAAGATATTCCGTGGTCACGGACTGGAAGACAGTATTATTAAGATGTTGATTCTTCTTAACTTGATCTACAGATTCAAAATAATTCCAATCAAAATCCCAGCAAGCTATTTTGTATTTATTGACCAACTGATTCTGAAAAGGCTCAAGTAGCTATAGAACAGACAACAATGAAGAAGAATGAAGTTGGAGAGACACATGACTTGATTTCAAGACTTACGATAAGGCTACAAGTAATCAAGATGGCATAGTATTGGCAAAAGAAGAGACAAATAGATCAATGCAACAGAATAGAGAGCCCAGAAATGGACCCACACAAATACAGTCAACTAACCTTTGACAGAGGAGCAAAGGCAATTCGATGGAGAAAGTATAGCCATTCAATAAATGCTCCAAAAGGAAAATTGGACATTCGGATACAAAAACAAACCAAAATAATTAGACACAGGCCTTATGCCTTACACAAAAATTAACTAAAAATAAACCACAGACATAAATATAATATGCACAACTGTAAAACTTCTTGAAGAAGACAGGAGAAAACCTACATGACTTTGGGTTTGGTGACGACTTTTAAAATACGACACAAATAGCATGATCCATGAAAGAAAAAATCGACAAGTGAGACTTCATTAAAGTACTGACAAATTGTTTTTTAAATTGTTGAATAAATAAAAAATGGGGGTGGTGGTGGAATAGACAAGTCTTCCAAACAGAAGAATTCCAAATAGATTACATAGATACTCCATCTCTAAGGATGTGTAGTGTAACTCCCCACCCTTTAAGTTTGGGCTGCATGTGCTGCCCTCCTTCCAAAGAGGACAGTGTGGAAAGACAGGGGACAAAGGTACCTATACAGTGGAAAAAGCTGGCAAACACTACCTCAAGCCATGTGATCAAGGTTGACATCAACGTGGTAAGTCACTGAAATTATGTCCCCTTGGTCTGTAGGCTTCCTCCCCAAAACATCACCCCAGTCTGAACATCAGACAAATGAGAGACATTCTACAAAATACCTGGCCAGTCCTCCTAAAAACTGTCAAGATCATAAAAATCAAGGGAAGGCTGAGAAACCATCACAGCCAAGAGTCCAAGGAGATTTGCCAACTAAATCATGTGGGGTCCTGGGACAGAAAAGGAAACGAGGCGAAAACTGAGGAAATATGAATAAAGCATGGACTGGGTTAATAGTAATATATAAACATTGGTTCATTACTTGTGACAGATGTATCACACTTGTGTGATATAAGATGCGGTATGAAGTATATGGGAATTGTGTACTCTCTTTGCAATAATTCTGTAAATCTAAAGCTGTTTTAAAATTTAGAAAAGTTGGACTTCCCTGGTGGTCCAGTTAAGACTCCATGCTTCTTCCAATGCAAGGGGCCCGGGTTTAATCCCTGATCAGGGAACTAAGATCCCACATGCCGTGTGGCATGGCCAAAAAAGAGAAAAAGAAAAAGAAAAAGAAATTTAGAAAAATTACTTTGGGGCTTCCCTGGTGGCGCAGTGGTTGAGAGTCCGCCTGCCGATGCAGGGGACATGGGTTCGTGCCCCGGTCCGGGAAGATCCCACATGCCGCGAAGCGGCCGGGCCTGCGGGCCATGGCCGCTAAGCCTGCACGTCCGGAGCCTGTGCTCCGCAACGGGAGAGGCCACAACAGTGAGAGGCCCGCGTACTGCAAAAACAAAAAAAACCAAAACAAACAACAAAAAAAGAAAAATTACTTTGAAACAACATGAGCAGAGGATCTGAGATCTGTGGAACCATATTAAATAGCTTAACATCCATGTAGCTAGAGCCCCACAGGAGAATGGTATGAGTCAGCAATCTTTGAAGAGATAATGGCTAATAATTTTTCAAAATTGGTGAAATACATAAGCCTATAGATCCAAGAAGGGCAGTAAATCCCAAGCAGGATGAATACAAAGAAAACCATGCACGCAGCAGCATCAAGTCAAACTGCCGAGAACTACAGAGAATGAGATATTCATAAAAACAGTCAGAGGAGAAAAAAGACATTAATTCATGGGAGGTACAAGAAGAGTGACAGCTGGCTTCTCATCACAAACAGTGGTGGTCAGAAGACGATGGAACAAACTTGAATGGATGCTTGAAGAAAACAAACTACCTACCAACTGAGAATTCTATATCCAGCAAAAATATAGTTAAAAAGTGAAAGTGAAATAGACATTTCAGGCAAAAGCTGATAGAATTTGTCTCCATTACACAACACTCACTACAACAAATAACTAAAGAAAGTCTTCCCATAGAAAGAGCAGGTAACCAGTTGGGAGTCCAGGTTGGTGGGAAGGAATAATGACCAGGACCAGAAAGGGGAGCGTAGGGTAAACAGGGTGAATGAAGCATTGTGGGAACCCAAACAGTGCATCTGATTGATCTGCTTCCAGTCTAGTCAGACGAAACCAGAACAAACACCCAACACTGGGGAGGTAAGTTCATGCCTTCTCCATGCTTATGTCCCCCTCCCATTTCCTCCACTGCATTCCCGGCGCGGGCTGCCGTAACCTTCTGGTTGGGGGAAGTTCCTGGGGTAAGTTCATCTGATGCTACAGCTCAAGAGTTTCCTGAGGATGC